TGTGTGCGTGTAGAGACCCTATAATAACTCTATGTGCGTGTAATTGAAGATGAACACATCGATAAGAAACTATGATAAGCAAACTTAAAATTCAGTGTCATCTCACCGAAGTGTAAACAACTTTTTGTTTCATAGTGTTTAACATGTCGAGTGCCAACAAAACAGTATTTGCGGGGAATTTTACTGCACTACTTTATTCAAAAAAAATCTGCAGCTAAAGCACACAGAATTCTTGTTGAGACTTACGGCGACCATGCTCTGTCGGAAACAACATGCAGAAATTGGTTTAGACGCTTCAAAAATAATGATTTTGATGTTGAAGAAACAACGCTCTAGCGCACCGAAAAAGTTTGAAAATGAAGAATTGGAGGCATTACTGTATGAAGACTCATGTTAGACGCTAGCTGAACTTGCAGAATCATTAGGAGTTGATCACAACAGTTTCGAAACGTTTAAAATTATTAGGAATGATTCAAAAGCAAGAACATTGGATGCCGTACGAATTGCAGCCGAGAGACGTCGAACGGCGTCTTTTCACGTGTGAATAGCTGCTTCAACGGCAGAAAAGGAAAGGGTTTTTGCATCGTATCATGACTGGCGATGAAAAGTAGATACCCTAAGCGTAGAAGATCGTGGGGTAAGCCCGGCCATGCATCAACATCGTCGGCAAAGCCGAATATCCATGGTTCGAAGCTTCTGCTCTGCATTTGGTGGGATCAACTGGGTGTAGTTTATTATGAGCTGCTCAAACCGAACGAAACCATTACGGGAGCTCGTTATCGACTACAATTAATGCGTTTGAGCCGAGCATTGAAAGAAAAACGGCCGCTATACGAGCGGAGACACGATAAAGTGATTTTGCAACATGACAACGCACGGCCACATGTTGCACAACCGGTAAAAACCTACTTAGAAACGCTTAAATGGGAAGTCCCACCCGCCGTATTCACCAGACATTGCTCCTTCCGATTATCACCTGTTCCGATCGATGGCACATGGGCTGGCTGAGCAGCACTTCCATTCTTATGATGATGCCAAAAAATTGGTCGACTCTTGGATAGTCTCAAAAGACGTGTCGTTTTTCCGACGTGGAATTTAAATGCTGCCAGGAAGATGGGAAAAAGTAGTGGTTAGCGATGGACAATACTTTCAGTGACATGTTTTTTACGTCTTTTTTAAAATAAAGCATTACTTTTCACGAAAAATCAGCGAGAACTTATTCAAGGTCCCAATATATTCTGTGTATGTATACCATTTTTAGGATTTACAAAATTTGTACTGTGATTCACTGTAAAATGTGTGAACTTTTCATTATGTAAAGCATCATATGCGCGCTATTTATCAGAATGAAAAGAACCGGACGCGATATATTTTCGAATAATTGGCAGAATAATTTCAGTAGATCGATTAGGTACAGGCAAAATAAATTAGTGTTACGTTCAGTTCCACCCATTGTCCTTTAATTATAAGTCCAGAATTATATTTTTTTTTGCCTATCTTTGCTTCATCTATTTCTACGATTATACCCTGTCCACCAATTAGTTTTTGTCCATTTTCACTCCATCGTTGAATTAACTAAAAGTAATTTTGCACAAAAACCTTTATTTATTATGATACATAAACACAAAATGAACAGTATGTAACTTACCTCACGACAAAAATTTGTCTAATCAACAACAATATGATTATCGAGTTGTAAATCCTCCATTAAAAATCTATGTCGTGGTGGTTGTATCATTACAAAGTAAACAATAAATTGACATATTGTAAGAAGCTCTAAACGCGCTCGTTCAAACCATGTTCTATGGAACGCACTAATTTTGAAATTGCACGTTACTCTTTGTCGCTTTCGAGTTCTACTCACTTTATAATAATGCTTTGTACAATGGAATACATGATTTTCTCTAACATTTGTTAATGTCAATACATTTTCACATCTTGGACACAATATTTCTTTACGTACAATTTTTTTATCACACAGAAAATTTCACAGACGATCGAAATTGTAAATCATATTAATGAATTCATGTAAATACATTTTCAACGTTTGTAAAGCATCTTACTTGTGTCGAAATAATCTGACTGACTGAGACTAACTGAAACATACCGATCGGTACTATTCACAATGACCGAAGAAATCAAAACAAAGATATATCAATACATCGTAATCCAAGATCAAGATATTGATCTCGCGAAGCGAGATTTACCCCGTCTCCTTCTCTAGTTAGGAAGGTAACGACTTTTCACGCGAAGGTAAGAGCTGTGCGTCCTTTTGCAGGGAGGAGGGGGGGGGGGG